TGAAATGATATTACAACGCGTACAATGTATATGATAATATTGCATTTTGTATGTTCCAGTTCGAAGATTTTGGAAATCATAATGCCTTCCGTTTCTTAGATAAATACAGAAATAAGTACTGTACGTTCAATGATGATATACAAGGTACAGCTGCAGTTGCAGTAGCTGGAATTTTGGCTTCAAAAAGGATAACTAAAAAAAGGATAGCAGAGAATAAGTTCGTCTTCTTGGGTGCCGGAGAGGTTTGTCAATTTTCGAGATAATGCAAAGCTTTATTCGAAAGCTATGTAACGTTTTTAAACTATTGATGTGCCTATTTTGAAATCCTAATGTAATGAATTTATTTTGCAGGCAGCTATTGGAATCGCTGATCTTTGTGTCAAAGCAATGGAAGCTGATGGTTGCACCCAGCAACAAGCGCGCGATAGTATTTGGATGATGGACATTGATGGATTATTGGTAAAAAATCGGCCTGAGGGTAATTTAGAGGGTCACAAGATTTGGTATGCGAAGGATCACAAAGTGATGAAGACGCTAATTGAAGTCGTGAAAGAGATCAAACCTACCGTTTTAATAGGTAAGTAGCTTTTTCTAAGAAAAACAATTTTGATATAGAACTAAAATATTCGCGTAGGGGCTTCGGCAGCGGCAGGTGCATTTACTCCGGAAGTCTTAAAGGAGATGGCAAAAAACAACGAAAGGCCATTAATCTTCGCTTTAAGTAATCCAACCAGTAAAGCTGAATGTACAGCACAGCAAGCATATGATTATACCGATGTATGAATATAAACCAATTTTAAATTTAACAGTAATAATAATTCTACTTTTTAGCATATCAAATTAATTTGCCGAACTAAATGCATCCGTTTAAATGCATTTTAGGGTAGATGCATATTTTCTTCTGGTTCGCCATTCGGCGAAGTGACATATAATGGGAAAACGTATAAACCTGGACAAGGTAATAATGCATACATTTTTCCGGGTATTGCTTTAGGCGTTATAGCGACTGGAGTTCATCACATTACCGAAGATTTATTCTTAATCTCGGCACAAACTGTCGCTGACCATGTGAAAAATGAAGATCTTGAAAGAGGTAGTTTATATCCGCCGTTAAATAACATCCGTGAATGTTCAATTGACATCGCGGTTAGGATAGCTGATTATGCTTATGCCAAAGGTTGGTATTATTATGATTCTGAAAAACACTAAGTGTGTGATATAATTTGTTATTATATCTATAGGCGGTTTGGCAAGCGAATATCCGGAGCCGAAAGACAAACGGCAATTTATCATAAGTAAAATGTATGATGCTAACTATGACAGTCCACTGCCAAATCTATACGAATGGCCAGGTGATTATGCCAAACCACGCATCTTGCCAGAAAAGTAAGTATGATAAACTTTACAATTCTAAGTCAATCTCCCAATTATGTAAAAATATACGTCGCATTATTGAACAAAATCTATCATGTCAATAAGCACAATAAATGTAGGATTGAAGAAGTAGATAGATAAAATTAGTTGTAACAAGTAGTATGTAGTAAACAATTCTATAGATAACGAGAACGAGTAGACAATTAGTAGTAAGTCTGAATGCATATAGTTAACAAAAATTCTTAAAAGATTTATTAAAAATTTTTCTTTTTACAAACTTTATACATCACTTTTTTATTTTCTTTTCTCTTTATATCTTTTTCCTAATTATAAAGCTTTATAAAATGAATGAAATTGTTTCACTATAATTTTCTATGAATTAATGTTTAAGAATGTGTTATTTTGCATAGCACTTGCAAATGTAATAATTACTCG